AAGGAAGGCATGTTTTATGGTGTGTGTCCCAGCCCCCCACCCCTCTGCTCAGCCTTGGGAGATTTGGGAGTGCGCTGTGGCCTCATGCAGCATCACTGCAGTGTGACCCCCAGCTGGAATTACACCTGGACTTCCCAGGGCTCAGACTACAACCCTTTCTGTCCGCAGAGGGGTCAGGATCCGGTCCTGGAGCATTTGTGAGCTGGCTGAGTACCTATGGCTAATGCAGGGGGTGGGCTCCCCACTAACCCTGTTCTCTCTTGACAGCAATCACAGCTACACATATTTAACCAGTTGCAGAGATGTGACTATAAACGGGCTGGAAAGAGCAGTTTCTAGCAGAAACAGTGAGACAACTACAAGTGTAGCTGCCTGCCAGGGCACCGGCTGCAACAAAGGAACAATCTCAGCAGACTTTGAACTTTTCCAGTGGTGAAAATACAGGGAATGTTAAGAAATAACACGAAACAAAGAGCTTCTGTTGATGAGAGCCTCACAGGCCAGCAACCCAACCCAAAGAGATATCACAGAGCACCAGGTCCAGCAACCCTTGGGCAAGGGGATGCTGGGTGGGATATGGGTACTTACAGCACAGGACAGATGATGAACGTGCCACGGAAGCTCCCCCAGGCATGGGAAACTCATTTTGCATCAGCAGAGCAATTCAGGCCAAGTCCATCCCCCGCTGGAATATCTTGGAGAGGCTCCCCTGAGTGACCAACTCCTTGTCCCCCAGAGAACGGGGACCAAAACACCGTGGAAATAAATGCATTTGTCAGCAGGCCAAAGGAGTTGGGGACAAGCCCTGGGCAGGCAGCCACCGGCCTCTGCAAGGGCAACCCTGCTGCTCGTGCAGCTCACCCCTGGGACACTTGGGGACACTTGCCACATCTCACCTGAGTCCTTCCTGCATGTCCCTGAGCTGATACTTGAGGGCTGTCCTTGGCGGTCCCCACACAAGTGGTTGGGTGCAAGGTCAGGGTGCAGGAGAGCTGTGGAGAAACCCCTCCTTGAGCAAAGCCAGCAGCAGCTTCTCTGTGCTTTGGCTCCCAGCCCTCTGGGGAGGCAGGTGTCCCTCCTCGCCCTGCCACTATCAACCTTTCAGCCCCAAAATAAAAGGTTGTAAAAAACAACCAAAGTTCATTACAACCCCTAATGTTGCATGGGAATGAGCTGGGAGCAGTGAGGCACCTTTCCCCTATTGAGGAGAGATTCAGGAAGGGGGAAAGGGAACAGCAGGGCATAGGGACCAGGCAAGGGCAGTGGGACTCAGCCCCACCGTGAGATGGGGCAGGCATGGAGGTGAACGAGACGGCAGAGCTGGACACAGTTATGGCAGAGCCAGAGGCAACATCCCAGCAAAGCCCCCCGCAACACCACCGCTGGCTTGGGGGCAGCGAGGCTGGTCCTCACCTGCCAAAGGGAAAGTGACGGTGGCTTCATCCCAGCACCTCCCCCACGCAGCCCACGCCGTGGTCCCTGCAGCTTGGACATGCCCGGAGGGGCCAGGCCACAGCTGAAACTGAAATGACCCACAGCTCAGGGGAAGTGAGACAAAAGCCTGAGTGGGGTGGTGGCAGAGACAGCAGGATGCTGGACAATCAGACACAAGGATGGGCAGGCAGCTCTGCCGTGACAGGCGCAGGGAGTCACTGCCGCGTGTCAAACAGGGCCATATTTTATTTGACCGGGCTGAACCGTGAGGGCACGAGGATTTGGGAGAGACAAAACCCTGGAGGCATAATTTCGGGTTTTGTATCTAACGCTTTTGATGGGAAACTGGGAGCTACCAGGCATTTCAGCTGTGCAAAGATTCACTAACTGGAAGCCTAAGTGCCCACCCTAAACCCACCAAAACACTCCGTCTGTCCTAGAGGTTCAGCCACGGGGACATCAGCCAGCCCGAGGGATGGGGCAGCATAACCAATGGCAACTGGGTTACCTCCTGCCCCACGGGGTCTGCTTTGTAAAACCCTCCGAGACCAAGAGGGACAGCTGAGGACAGACAGCAGGACATTGCCCAGACCACGCCTTCCTACCCTGCAAAGGCCACCACGAGGTGACGGAGAGGTTCATCCCTGGGCCATCACCTGCCCCCAGCAGTACAGCTCCTTGCCACCGCCCAGTTGGCCGAGCCCCTCCAACTGCGACCTTGGTGGCAGCGTGGGACTGTGACACCAGCAGCTCCAGCACCGGGCTCTGGTCACTCACTTGCTCACCAGACAAGCAGAACAGGGAAGCAAGGCAACCCCAGGCACCACCACAGCAGTGGGAAGACCAGGACCCAGAGCTCCCAAAGGGTTACGTGGGCATTTTGGCAAAACGAAGCCCACGCTGAAGCGCCCACGGGACCGGCACTTCATGACCCCGCTCCGCCTTCGGAACCACCTGGCATTCATGGCAAGGAAGGAGCACAGCTGAAGCTGCCAGCAAGTGCACCCCAGGGAGGCAGGTAGCCACACCGAGCAACATTTGGTGGGGTGGGAGAACAATCCCCCATCACCCTCCTGCATGGAGGGTCTCAGCAGCACTGATGTAAGGGCAAGCGAGCCCTTCAGGGGCTGGAAACAAGGCCCCGCTCAGACAGACACCCCTGTGCACATCAAGAAATACTGCCTTCCAGCCTAATCACTTCTAATCCCATCTGCAACATAATTATCGAAAATCTTCTCAGCTCAATAGCTGTCCCTGCTGCACCAGCCGGGCATCCCCAGCAACAGCGCCAGGCTGTGCTTCCAGGGAGCAAATCCCACCCTGAAACCCTAAGCGCTTTTCTTCGGGAAACACGTGAATGCTCTTTACTGTGGCAGGAAAGCTGGCGGGGGGATGGGGGGGGTGAACCAAGAAATATCATGGAGCCATTTGTTAATATGCCGCTGCGCAATGAACCGAGCCATTGTTCCCTACCTGGGGTAACAACGCCTTTCAGAGAACACGAGCGCTTTTCCCAGTGTGTTCTTTAAAAAATGTCAAGACCAAAGCTGCCGGAGGATCAGGGAACAGCTGGAAAAAAAAAAAAATAAAACAGCTAACAGATTAGCCAGAGGGTTTTCACACTTGATCTGTAAACGCTCTTTTATTTAATAAAAATAATCATCCATTATAGCAACTTCTGCTCGTGGTTGTGGGTTTGGTTTTTTTTTTACAGTAAAGCACAGTTTATTTGCTTTCCTCACCTCTTGAGGATTTAATTCTGAAAATGCATGTGAATGTAAACATTACTCTCCAGGTCCCAAGATTCATCCAGGGACCCTGGGAGTGAATTACAAAGTCAAAAGAGAGAGCAAAATCAACAAAACACTTCCCAAAAGTAAAAAGGCTATTTTTTAAAGTCTCTTCCTATGCACCATAGGACTCCAGAGAATGCAAATTCATCTTATACACGAGACTTACACAAACTTTTCTTTCTCCAAACAACTTCTATGACTTGTCAGTATCTGACAAAGCTGTTTTCATAACGTTAATAGGCTTGCCAACTCATCTACTGTGATGGATCAAAAGTTTTTTCATTTTAATATTCTCCAGAAATTTCTTCATGGCACAAGGATGTTACATTTGTTCTGTCCATTTCTGTATATATATATATATTTTTTTTTAGCAGAAAGAGCTGCAAGACATTTCAGGAAAGGAGTGTAAAAGCAGTATTAACTCTCTCTCCTGCTCCAATCTCACAATATTTACACATTTCTTTAAAAAAAGAAAAATCTTAATTACACTATAAAATACCGGAGAAACTGTCAGTTAAGTTTCCCATTTCAGAGTTTTGCCCTGTGTAAGACTGAAAGAGGGATGCTTTCGTATTTCCTAGGGAAGATGAGGCTGGCAGATTAAAAACTGAACTCTTCTCCCTTAATTCAGAAAAGTGGAACAGACTCTGCACACAAAATCCCACCTCTTCGGCAGGAAATCCCACAGGAGTCAAACCATCACAAATCGATACAAACGAGATAACACAATACACGGAGCCCTGCTATTTGCTTTGAAATGTTATCTATCTACAGTTGGAGGCGGGGGGAAGCGAGTTAGCATCGAACACGTTTCAGTGCTGCAGTGTGGTATAATATCAACCAACTCACGAGGAGCTTGGCTGGGTCCCAAGCCTCACGTTGCATGGGAAATAGCCTGTCACTCCAGCGCCCGGGACATGCCTGCCTGCACAGCAAAGCCACCGCTCCGTTAGCATCTGCTTTAATGAATAACGAGAGGGCAGTTACCATCTCGGCTGTATTATATCACAGGCAACACAGAAATTAAACAGGATCAGGTACAATAGAAAAAAATGACAACAAAAAAAGCCAGTCTGGTGAGGTCTGTGATCCTAAGCTTTATAGCCAACATAAACATGTTGGAATACTGGAAGTTTTGGTAATGTTATCAGCCTGTCAGGTAGAGGGAACGGCTCTAGCTGTCCAGTGGTTTTGAGTGAGGGGGGTTTCAGGGGCGGGAATAAAAGGACTTTTAAGGCGTCCAAGATAATTAAAGCATTCACAGTTTCAAAACTGCTTGCCTTACAAAAATTAAGACATTCAGATTCAGGGATACAATACTGTATTTTACAAAGGGGTTAAAATTAATTACATAGACAACAGGAAAAAAAATGCACAAGAAAATAAAAAAGCCAACAGCTCTGGGGTGCATACTCCCTCTTTGTTGTTCAATCTCACGGAGCTGCACCTTGCTTGTCTTTAAAGAGTCAAACTGAGCAGTCATTAAAATATCCACTGATTCTGGCAAAAGGAGAGAAGAAAAGCCCCTAACAAAATAAACCACGCAAGTCAAAAGCCATCCTCCCCTGGAAAGCCAAATGCTACGGCTCAGACTTCCACTTGCCTGCTGCTCCTCGCTGCTGCTGCCCGGCGTTTCCACAGGCTCATCTTGGGTTTTAAAGGCTTCCTGCTCTCAAGTTGTAGGAACCCTTCCCATGCAAGCACAGCCCAAGAGAGCCACGCTTCACTCTCCTACAAAGTCCTGAATTAGTCCTGCCCATAGCAAAGGGTCCTTCAAACAATCCTTTTCCTCTCTATCCTGCAGAGGATCCTTTTGAAGGCCCGTCTGAAGTCGTGGTTGAAGATGGTATAGATGACGGGGTTCAAGGAGCTGTTGCAGTAACCGAACCAGAAGAAGAACTTGAAGAGGGTGTCAGGCACAGAGCAGCTCTCGCAGACGGCTGTCAGCGTGTAGGTGAAGAAGAAGGGGAACCAGCAGATGACAAAGACCCCGATCACCACTGCCAGCACAAAGGTGAAGCGCTTCTCCCGGTTCTGCCGACCCCTCCACCGGGACCCTTTGGTGTTCCTCTCCTCCTCCGTCTTCCTGGGCAAACTGTCCCCAGGCTTAATCTGGCTCAGCTTAGTCTTGGTCTTTCCCCTGGACGGTCTCTCTGACTTCTTACACCGGTTGTTCTCCTGGTGCTCAGAGGAAGAGGTCTCCTCCATGTCTATGCCGTTGACCTCTCCCTCCTGCCCGCCGCCACCTCCTGCCGCCTTCTCCCCATTGAGCTGGGCTGTGGCCGGCAGGTCCTCCTTGTCAGCCAAGCCGTTCTGCCTCTTCTCGGGCCGCTCTGCCCGCTTGTTCGGCGGTACCCTGGTTCGCCTCTTGGCTATCTGGTAGATGCGCATGTAGACCAGGATCATGATAAGGCAGGGGGCAAAGAAGGAGCCGATGCTAGAAGAGATGATGTACCACTTCTCATCGTTGATTTTGCACCCTGCCACCCCCTGGTCAGCCTGCTGCCCGCTCTTCTTCTCGATGGAGATGAGCGGCGGGAAGGAGATGACGGCCGAGATGACCCAGACGATGAAGATGATGCACTTGATGCGGCGCGGTGTACGCTTGAGATTGTACTCGATGGCTTGCGTGATGGACCAGTAACGGTCCAGGCTGATGGCGCACAAGTGCACGATGGAGGAGGTGCAGAACAGCACATCCAAGGCCAGGTAGATCTCGCACCAGACCTTGCCGAAGTACCAGTACCCCATCACCTCGTTTGCCAGGGAGAAGGGGATGACCAGCGTGGCCACCAGGATGTCGGCCGAGGCTAAGGAGACCAGGAAGAGGTTCTGGGGGGCCTTGAGCGCCCGGCTGGTGAAGACAGCGATGATGACCAGGACGTTGCCGAAGACGGTGAAAAGCATCAGCAAGCCGGCCAGGCTGATGAGGAGGACGGTGCTGTGCA